TTTTTTTCTCCTGGGATTACAATCGCCAATGAATTGGGGGCTCGTGAGGCGCCATTAAAGCTGGTTTCACAGATTGGTGACTACACGTGGAAGAATAGATTGGCGGAGAAAGGTGGAGCCTTGCACAAAAGGGGAAGGGCAGTTTCCATCAGAATCAAATGCATTGATATGACAACCTATTCTTGATTTGCTAGTAAAAGCTCAACTCAACTCAAGCTCATTTTTTGTTAAATAAACGAACTAGTCAAGCTCGAATGACTAACCAAACACGTTTGGAGAATGCGCCGATGAGCCGAACTAGATTTACAGTACTATACTCATCTCGATTTTCGTGAGCGCATCTCAATTCATCTCGTAAAATTTTAACTCAGACTTGTTTGTTTAAGTAAATGAGAATCAAGTTTCGAACATTCCATCAAGTTTGTTTAGTAAACGAGCCGACGAGTGAAACTAGAACAATCATATTAAACGAGCCGACGAGCCAAGCTTGAACAATCGAAAGGGACCAAATGTAGCTTGTGCGTAGACTATTCCATTTTGTAAACTTTCTTTTAGTTTTCAATACGATAGTCAAGTTGAACTCGTTTACGAACAAATATTTGTATTTGCTAATAACTCATTTGGAATTTTGATTGGTTACAAATTTTATCCAATTTTGATTGGTTGGACAATTTTTTTTTTCTAACTTTTCAACTCAAATTTCAACTTAAATTTTGTTCAACCTAACTCTACTCAATATAATTAAATAATATTAATCAATCATTATTACACACAACTTCAACTGTAATTAACTATTCATCCACTCACATATATTTAACTAACATTTACAATAATTTCTTTCATAAGTTTTACATAAATCAATATTAATCATTATAATTTTAAATATTATTTAAATACAAAACTATAAATAAACTTTATTAAAAAATAATTCATTTATCCACTAAATAAAATCTAAACAAAAAAAAAATAAAAAATTATAACACAATAGTTGGCAGATAACACAATAGTTGAAAACGATATATAACACAATAATTTAGTATCACCAGCAACACAATATATAATACAGTAGTTGGCAGATTTCATCTGGGCCCAAGGCAAGAACCCAAAAGCTGAAAGGTCCAAAACAAGTCGAACGTTAACCACAAAAGCTGTTCTTTTTCCTATTCACAGTACAAAAACCAAAAGCAGGAGTCCCAGCAAAAGGCCAGAGATGGAGTCTTCCTGAAAGACTTCGATCCTCGACATCAGCATTTGCTTTTAGAAACGTGTGCCTTGGATCTTAAGGCAGGCTTCTTCTTGTTCTTGTAGCTCTTGGAGGAGTACATATCATTATCAAAATCATCCCCACTATCATCGTCAAACTTTCCTTTGCGTGCTTTTTCGCCTTTGCCACACACAACTATCTTACTTTCTTCCCTTGGCCGCTTTAGCTCAATGTTCTCCTGAGGCCTCCAGATGAAGATCGACCTGTGGAAACCGTTTTTACAGAGAATCAGAGATAAAAACACTTTTTAGGAGTTCAGTAAAGGGATTAACTCAACAGACAACGTTTTTTTTCTTCATTATCCATAGTGTAACTAACATGTGAAAAATTATCATGTTCAGTAGAGAGATTAACTCAAACGACAACTTATCTTTCTTCACGATCCATAGTGTAACTAACTTGTGAAAAATTAGAATGTACAAATAAATGATTTTACGGTCTACCAGACCTGGAGCTACCAGAAGCCAAAACATCATCACGTGGATGCAACTTATTCACAGGGGTAATAGTCGTAATGTTTGGGTCGATCACCTCGGCAACTAACTGCCCTGTGCTCACATTTATAAAGTCAATGGGATGCAATGCAACGCCATCATAGTTTTCACTTATGTAACGTCCAACAACAACAAGGGACTCAGATGTGTCCTGCACAGTAAAAATTGCATTTCACCAATAGTAACTGCATATGCAAAACAACACCAATATTTATAGCTGTAAAGGGGAACAATCCCACACCTTTGGGTCCCATTCTGCTCGGAAGGGAGTCAAATGCCGATTAAAGTCATGACTGTGCACGATTTCTCGGCTTGGAGAATCCAAATTGCCGAAAATGGAGTCCCATACACGAATTCGGTTGTCTTGAGAGGTGGTAAGTATTTTGCTACCTGTCCGTGGTGAAAAATAGGCCGAGTTAACAACACGCTTGTGAGGAAGATCGTGAATACACGATCCGGCTTCCAGATTTCGCATGTCCCATATTCGAGCCTGAGGGTAGAAAACAGATACTGTCAAGCGCGCCAAAGAAACTAACCAAGCAAAAGCAACCTACAAAGTTGCAAGTGTCGGCTCGATTCCAATCATCATGATTCAAAAAATTGTACTTTATACTCAAAACCTGAGCATGGTGTAATATAAGAAGTTATTGTACTTTTATATCCTCATCGGTTAGTTATTGGGTCGTTATTGTGGATAATAGTGGTATCAGTACTCACAAATCAAGCGCGCATTGTAAGAACCAACACACAACTTAACAGTAAGTAAAGAAGCTTACAAAGTGATCGTTTCCACAACTCAACAGAAGATCGGGTTGAAGAGGATGACAATGTAAGCCGGTAACTTTGCTTCCTTTCTTGTGAATCAATATAGGTTTCCCAGTTACAGTGTTCGAACGCATATCCACCCTGTTCATCAACACGGGGAGTAAAAAATAGAAAGCCAACTTCAATCTAAAGGTTAGTAGAAAATCTCTCATGCATGTAGAAAAATCGTGCTGTGTCAATTATGTCTGATGAGTATGGTTTTACTTGATCAATGAAAGGAGAATTAAGAGAGAAAAAAAAAAAAAAAAAAAAAAAAAAAAAAAAAAAGAAAAGAGATTCCATATGCTGTCAGGAAAAAATAGCACATTCCGACTTTTCCACTTTGTCATAAGTTATCCTACAATAGAAGACAGGTACGTGGGTGGATGAAGGTGAAAAAGCTGTTGGTATGTTGCACAATTTCGACACGTTAGATCAACTAATTAATGAAACTGCAATCACTGGCGAAATGGAAACTCTGCAGAGGAGCTAAAAGACGCAGAAAAAAGGAAATCAAATGATCAATAGATTTACATAAAACAGGAAAATCTGCAGGATGCATAGCTACATTTAGAAACTTCAACTGCTCACTTAAAGAAGATTAGCGTACAATCGGATGAGTCAGCTATTAAGTAACTTTTTTAAGTAGGTATTAAATAATTAAGTCCAACATATACAAGTTTTAGTTAATATACACACATATAGAGACGTCCAACATTATCCGCAGCAACCAGAACTCCTTTGTCAGAATTCAAATCCAAACCATAGAGCATCCTCCAACTGCTGGAACCCTAAAGGGAAACCACTCTCTTCATTAAATAAATTTCCAGATGTAAATTACAAAAATATATGTAAAAAAGTTTAGCACCAAGAAAACTAAATCTATCGTCAATGGTAAAGACCTCCTTAACGTCAAATGAAATATCCAAAAAAGAAACTGAGAAGCACAGTGCGTCCACACAGACAACAAAAATGATGACAATCCTAAATTGTGCTACATTATTCTGGTACTCCAGCTTATGCCAAGAAAACAGTCCTATCACAAAAATTGCATACGATTTGTCCTCTACCTATAAAAAACAAGCTAATTTGTTCAATTTACACATCTACACTCCTCCACCTTCATCTATTCTTCCACTTACCAGCTAAGGTTGCAGACAAAAAACCATGCTTCCAATAATAAAGTGTACCTTCCCCCTCCTACCAACATTCTATCTATGAATCTGACATTTTACAAAATAAATAAGACAACGGTACCTGTTCCTAAATGTTAACACACACACACACAGAGACACACACACAAAAGGAGAATATTATGGTCCACAAGTACCTGCCACCCGTTAGGATTTAAGTTCAGCAACGATGATGAAATTCCCGTCTCTAACTCCGTGATGCTTAGTGTTCCATCAGAAGAGGCACCGTATATTGTTTCATCCTTCGATGGATTAAACCTGAAATCATATCATGGTCGTCTTAAATCATGGCTACAAGATACGCATGAAGTATGACATCCAAAGTCGAGCACTGAATTATATAACATACATAAGCAGCAGTACTCACTTCATGTTGTTCAGTATGCAGCCATGAATATTACTATATACTGTCTTCTCATGCACTTTCGCATAATCCCAGACTCCAAGTTGCCCTTTCTTCAACACAAATAATTTACCTTCATCATCATAAAATTTCTGACACACTCCAATTGATAACAATAGACTGCTAAAAGTATATAAAAGTAACCTTATCACCAGATATGAGGATATTGTTCCTTGTCGGATGGAACTCCAAACATGTAATGCGTCTGCTATGATATCTGATTACTGCACAGTTCACTCTATTTGGTATCACATGGGCAGGTTTGATCTGTTTCGGAACAGAATAAAAAGCAATACTTTAAAAAGGAGCTACATAATAAGTTCCTATGAGGTCTCTTCTACCTATTCTTGAAAATCTGTTAAGAGAATAGTCTCATGAGATCCAGGCTTTTAAAATTTTATGTATATCAGTCATTACAAAGCTATAAAAGGACCAAACTTGATATCACTGTTTGTTCCAATAGCTCTCAAGTTTATCTCCATGTACAGCAAATAACATCTTAAAACTCAACACCCTTGATTCAGAATATCCAGTGATGTACCAAAGAAAAAAGACGGATAAAGAAAGAAACAGGAAATGATGTCATATCCACCTATATACTCTTAGACCCACCTATAGTAACCCATTCTCTTACATGAAATAACAAATTCGATGCAGAAACAAATTGTTTCACTTTACATTAAATAAATCCAAACAAGGAATTAAGTGTCCAATACATAAAATTGCAAACCTAAGGCATAATAAAGATAACACAAATCACAAATGATCATCAAAGAATCGAAATACACCGTATGGCTCGCTAATTAAAAAGGAAGAAAGACTTTATCACAAAGTTACTGGAGTAACCTTGTATGCCCAGAGATACACCAATTCTAGTTATCCAATAAAACACGAGATATTTACCGCAGAAATTCGGCATCTAATTTGACGCTCAAAAACATACTCCACTGAATTATGAGAGCTCTTATGGGGTGCCGGGGAAACCCCATATTCTGTAGCCACACGGTGTGGACAAGACATCGTGGTGTGCCCTTCAATTTCCAAGATCAAGAGGTTATAATAAGTACTCCAATTCATCACAAAACACCATACTTCTCATACAGAAAACAGAGCAAACCATGAAAATATGAAGCGAACTACTTTTCAAAAGGTAAAGAATAATAACTGCAAACAGCAACGCAATCGTAACTGCATAAGGAGGTTCCTCGTTCAGTTACCAGGCATTTTGCAAAGGAAACAGGGCTTCATCGGGCAGTCAATGTAAGTGGCGCCTCTAAACCCAGCTTCATGACCCGGTTTTTTGCACACCTGAACAAAATTTGAAATAAACACAAGAAGTTGTGTAATATATATCAAATTGTTAAAGGGTTTTTACCTTGCAAACTTTCTTCAGACTAATTGTGATGGGTTCTCTCTTAGCCCTAGTCGACGTCGACGTCGACGCCTCGTCGACCTCCGGCTGAGCGGGTTCTTTGTCCAACTCTTCGCCGGCGTCGCTTTGGGCCTCTTCGTCTTCGTCCTCTCCTTCTGAAGAACTTTCATCCGTATCAGAGTCTCTCTCAATCACGACCTTCGGGAAGGATATGCCTCTGGTTTGCGGCGCCATTTTCAAAAAGCAGAGTGAATTTGCGAGAGAGCACTTTACACTGAACTGATGAGGAAGAGTACAGAGCAAAATGAAAACTGAAAAAAATATATATTATATTTATTTGTTTTGTTGACCGGCTTTGGTGATGCAATTACCGAAGTGTCCTTATGGATTAAGGACCAAAACTTTTCAAATCCTTTTGGCATTTCTTTTTATGACAAAATTTAGCAGAACATAATATCAATGTTTTAAAAACCGTACCGGTCGTCATACCGGTGTAGCGACCGGTATGCGGTATTACCGGTACGACCGGTATTACCGTCTATTTTACCGGTTTTAATAAATATTAAATTAATTTATTATTATTATATAAATAATATACAAAACTAACTTTAATTAATATTAAAATAAATTAACATCTAATAACAATATAAACATATTAAAGTTAAGTGTAGAAATTTCAATTTATATAAATAAAATAATAAAAATCTATTAAAAATATTTTTTTTTTAAAAAATGGCATAAATCGATATTTTGACCGGTATTTTGGCCGGTATTTGCCGGTAAAACCGGTATTTTCCGATACGAAACCGGTATTTTGGCCAAAACGGTATTTTGAGTGTAAATGTACCGGTCGGACCACCGGTATCCGGTATTACCGGTAATACCGGCCGGTACGAACCGGTATTTAAAACATGGCATAATATAATAATGAAAAATTCTACAGTCCCGTTATGGAATCATTCTGTCGAGATATGTAACCGTATCATCATGTAACCGTTTGAGATAGTTGATCTAACGGTTACAAACCCCAAACCCCGACAGAATGGTCCATAACGGGACCATAGAATCTCCCGATAATAATAATCATTATTCACAAATTATTGTGCAAGTACCAACAAGGTCTAGCCGAGTCGGTTTATCATATATTTTGAATAGAGATGTTAAACGGTCCTTGGCCAGACGGGCCGGCCCATTTAGCTCGAAAAAAAACAGGGTTAGAGCCTTTTTTCAGTAGCCTGTTTAAATCAGGGCTTTTTAGACCCGGACCGTTTAAACCGAAGCCCGATAGGGCTAGCCCGTTTAATTTGTATATTACAACTTCACTATCCTACTTTATATGTAACTATGAGCTGTAGCGGGTTATTATGATTTTGAAAGATAATTATTAACTATTTCGTTATTCTACTTCACACCAAATTATTTAAGTCAATTAAAACGGCTAATGAAAAATACATGAGACAAAGACCTAACACATAAAACATAGTGATAGAATATAAATTCAACAGTTAGATATTATATCGTGAAAATTTCCAAAGCGTAAAAAAATAAGTAGTAAAAAGGTAATTATAAGTAATAGTTCGAACATTTTTTTTCTTTTGGTAAAAACATGCCACTTAAGAGTTTGTAATGAGTGTTCATACATGAAATGTAGGTGTATATATATATAGAGCGGTAAATACTAAATAGCCGTTGAAAACAATCGTGAATTAGCGTTGTAATTTTTATTTATATGTTTATTTATATATTATTATTATAGCCCGTTTAGCCCGAAGCCCGCTAGGTTAGGGTTAGGTCCTTTTATTGGTAGCCCATTTAAATCCGGGCTTTTTAGGCCCGGACCGTTTAGCCCGAAGCCCTTTAGGGCTAACCCGAAACTGGAAGGGCTAACCCGTTTAACATCTCTAATTTTGAACAAAAATCTAAACTATTCCCATGAAATATTATAATTTTTTGTATATTGTTTTTTAGAGTATTACATTAAATTTTAAAGTTTGCACGTATATTGAGAAAATATAGAATAAGTATATTACTATCATACATTCTTGTATGAGACGCTGACTTAATCGTTAAGTTTCTATTTATCATATTCTTTTTAATGAAAACGCATAAATATATTATGAAATATTATACATTTATTTGTGTTGACTTTTAAATATGACATTTTAATTAAAAATATGTGTATATATCTTAACAAAATATGTTGCATGGGCCTACAAAAGAGTAGCATTAGTGAATTAATATTCTTATTTGATATCTTGGATTCAAATAAATACATTCAAATAAATACATAGGCAATGCATTGTTTAACACATATTTAACAAATTATGAGAATTTAATCAAAAATACTAGTCCAAGGTATATTTTCCACGTCACCCTCTCATAACCAGAAATAACAGGGCATTTTAAATGTAGTTACATATAGATAATTGGTGATTAATACAATAAGAAAGTGTATTAGCATTCGAGATACAAATGATGAAATGAAGGGTATTATTGGCATTTTCCCTCCGTGTGGATTGGCGAGACAGTACGTGGCTGCTTGTGCACCGATTGCTAGTCGTTGTCCCCTCGGGGTCATTACGTGTCACACGCCCATCGCCCGCCTAAATTTCTCACATTCATGTCACTAATAATAATTGGGCGCTACTATTTACCGCCCCCTTATTACTAGTCACCGCCCCCCTTGGACGATTT